TTGACATTTATTGGTCTTTAGCCATACTTGCTGCGCCTTAAAAATTCAAGGGTGCATTCCTTATAACTTTCCCAAAGACCGGGCAGGACCGTCCAGGACCGAAAGACCGACTGACCATCCTTAAATATATCACTTTACAGTCTTTACATAGTAACATCATAGTAACATAATTTTTGATTTTTTTGGCGCGATCGGTGCGCGATCACTAATTTGTTGGTTTATTTTTACATCTACAGAAAGTACTTCGCTCTCTCATTTTATATCTTTTTTGCCCTTTTATTTTATAAAAAAAAACTTCTCCCTTTTTCTTTGAAGTACTAAACTTTAAATCAACTATCCTTCTCCTTTTAGGTGCATTTGAACACTTTAATTTAGTATTTTTTTTTAAGAATACAGCAAAATTTTTTTACTATAATTTACTTTCACCTCTTTTCTCTCACTTATTTTTCTGACCTATTTATTTTAAAAGTACTTCTTTTTTTTTCTTTAAAAAAAAGATGTATTTCACTTTAGGGACATTAGGTACATTGCTTAGGATTTTTTTTAAAAAAACATTTCTTTTCTTTAGAAATATTTCATTTTGGAAGTTTGTTTTAGGATTCGACACTTCAACTTTGTATAGTATTAGTTGCTTTTTGATTTTTGATTCATTATTAAATAATAATTTTTTTTCAGAAATTTAAAAATTTATTATTATTATTTATTGTAAATCGTTTATGACTTATGAGTTAGTATTTCTGCAATGGTGTAATGGTAAAACACTGTTTTTTGTTAAATGTGTTGAAATATTTAATAATTTAATAAATTGTAATTTATATAAGAAAGAAACAAAAAAAAATTATAATAACCCTTTAAAGTCCTTTTTTATTTTGCAAAATTTTAATTTTTATTAAATGCGATGAATATTTTCTAAATGTTACACAAAATTAATGGAAGTTAGCCACACTTTGAATCAATCATATTCAAAAAAGGGGTGCAGTGAATAATTTTTACCGCATGGCGACCATGGCGTGGTGCATAAATTTACTCTATTTCGTAATTTCTGTAATTATATAAGTCAGTTTTTTTTATTCATTCTAAATAATTAATACGCTTAAGCCACTACGATCATTGCAGTCATTTTAAAAGGTTTATTTATTAGGTTTCACTTTATCCAAGAAATTATTATAATAACGTGACAATTTCATTTCATGATGTGTGTAATGTGTTTCACATGAGTGTAGATCCATGTTTGGAGCAAAAAGCATTTTGTGCAATACTAGGTAAGTTGCACTGCATTATAAGTTTTACGGATTATTTCGGATACAAAACTCCGTTCAGACTTTTTTTTCTCGTTATAATATTTTTTTTTTAGCCCTTCTTTCGGAGCTTTATTTTAAAAAAATTCCATGTCTGTCATTCGAAGAGAATTTGCTTACGCAGCAATTAATCGATCAATTGCATTAATAGACTATAATGTTCACACTGATATGCACAAACAATATGAATTTAAGAAACAAACAGTTCTTGCTGATAATTCTCTTACAGAAGATGAAAAAACTTATGCAATAAGATGGGTATCTAAAGATTATGATCGAGATAAAATTCTTTTTAATTCAGGAACAAAAAGAACTTGTGAAAATTGTAATCAAAAATGTTTAGCTACGTTATATTGTGAATTTTGTGTTAGAAATTATTTAAAAGCAAAATTTTCAAATTGGACATCTGGAAATGATGATATTGATAATTTAATCCAGAAATGTCAAATAGAATTAGCTAAACCAGATACGATAGTTGAATGGATTCCATATAATAATTTGCAAAATATCAGGTATCTAACAAAAGGTGGATTTTCTGAAATCTATACAGCAGTTTGGATTGATGGAAAATATGAAGAATGGGATTCTAAAAAAAAACAATTAATAAGATTTGGAGATCAAGATGTAATACTTAAAAGTTTAGAAAATGTTGAAAGTGCAAATCAAAGTTGGTTTGAAGAGGTTTGTAATTTAAATAAAATTTAGAAGAAGCTAATTGACCAGTTTATTTATTAAATCTTTACATTTTTATAGGCTAAATCACATTTAACTATAAGTAATAAATATCCAGAAATTGTCCAATGTTATGGTATAACACAAAAAATATAAAATGGAAATTATATGCTTGTGATGGATAAAATGAATATAAATTTAAGAGAATATTTGCAACAAAATCATAATAAGCTTACATGGAAACAAAAAATCAATATAACTTTTGAAATAGTTAGGGCACTTTATTTTATTCATTTTGAGAATTCAATTCATAGAGATTTACATTCAGGAAATATATTGTATTCACAACTTAATAGTTGTTGGCAAATTAGTGATCTTGGATTTTGTGGACCTGCTGATAAATCATCAAAATGTATATATGGAAATCTTCCTTACATAGCACCTGAAATTATTAATGGAAAAGAATATACTTTTAAATCTGATATTTATAGTATTGCAATGCTTATGTGGGAAATTGCATCACAAAAACCACCATTTATTAATCATAAACATGATTACAATCTTGCAATGAATATTATTAATGGTATTAGACCAAGAATAGTATCAGGAACTCCTGTTGAATATAAAAATTTAATAGAAGAATGTTGGGATGCTAATCCATCAAAAAGACCTGATACCAAGACACTTGCATTTAAAATACAAGAAATGAACTTATATTATCAAAGTATGACAGATGAATCAGAAATACATAATAATCTAGAATTTAATGAAGCAAATAATTTAGTAAATAGTACAAATAACATATTATTTACAAGTAAAATTCATCAATTTGAAAATCTACCTGAATCAAGAAATGCAACAGAAGGTATTGTATTTAATACATATTGCTTTTATTATTTAAATAAATAAGTAATAATAATAAAATCTCATTATTCATACTAAAATAAAAAGAGGAGCTAGAAGGTACAAATTTAATATATAAAATCTTTTTTATTTTTTCAGATTATTTGTACTCTTATCATTTTGACTTTTTTTAACTAAAGTATTTCATTTTTAAATAGCATTTCATAGTAAATCATATGATTTTAGTATTCCCGCTAATAGTAAGTATTTTTTTTTATTATACTATATTGTTAAATATTTAATTATTAATTTTACATTTTTTTTAGTTAATGATTTTAATAATAAATCAAGTAATCAGAATAATAGTAGAACATCAAAAATAAATAGCTTTTTTAAAGGTTGGTGAATTTATCCATATATTTCAATGATTTATTTTTTTTTATAATAATTGAATAAATAAACAATGAATTATATTTAAATTTTTTAGCCAATAGTAAAAAATTATCCAAAATATTTAAAAAGCTACAAGTAAAAGATGGTAAGTAAATAATCTAATATTATTATTTAGTGCAAAAATTCATTAAACAATAATTTATTTCAATTTAATATAAACAAAAAACAGTGCAACAAACAAAAGGTCCAAATGTTAATTTTAATGGTAAGACTGACAAATATACATTTTAATTGACCATTCTTATATTTTATTTTTTTAATTATTCTTATTTTGTTACTAAAGATGATGAAGATGAAGTATACAATAACCCAAATCTTCATTCTGAAGAACAAGATGAATTGGAAATTCCTAATGGTAAAAAATTCATTATTTTAAAATGTAAAAATATTTAATTTAATTTACTGATTTTTATTATTGTAAATATTTTTTTTTTTTTTTTTTTTTTAGATATTTAGATACAATGTTACCATCTCTTATTACAACTATTTTTTTTTCTATCATTGTTAATGATTTATATTTTTTTTATATTTTTAAAAATTATTTAAACACTACTAAGATTAGAGTAATAAGATTTCTTACAAATTTCTTAGTTTGTAATTTAAATAATTCATATGCGTAAAATTACTAACGCTATATTTTAAATAAAATTTTATAAATTTATATTTATATTTGTCATTCAAAAATATTTTTTTCTTGATAATTTTTAAATGAAATCTATTAATTATTCCAAAAGTTAAAAATGTGTTTAAGAGGTGTATATATTTAAAAAGTTTATAAGATTGAAGTTACATTTATGTGCGCAATCCAACATATCAAAGATTTATTTGATATTTATCTTAGATTGCTAAATTAGGACAAAGATTTTAATTTTAAACAATTTATATTAAACTATTGAAGGGTTAACATCACAAGAATGCGCAGGGTGAAAAAAATAATTATGACTTATCGTACGGAGCGAAGCGAAGGACTATATATCATATATGTCTACGCATTATGAAAAATGGTCGACCACGTGAGTTTCTCTGTCCCTCATGTGACGTCATCCAATGAAATCGCAAATCTAAGTTTTTTCGCTCTGAACTTACGACGATTTCCGTTTCCTAGTCTATTTTTATTACAAGTAAAAGGCCATTTTTCAGGAGGAGGTAGATTTAAGTGCGAGATATTTTCATTAAGCAGGCGCTGTAAACGGAACATGAATGATGTATTTTAAATTTATATTATTTGATTTTGAAAATATTTTATACTTCTTTAAAGTAAGACATGTATTGACTCGAAGAATAAACATTCGAAGGCGTAGTTGAACATAGAAAATTAAGTATTATTCACATATAGTACATTCCATACATCAAAATAGGAAATACGATTTTATTAAATAAAAAGGCGTCTTTTACTTAACAAAAGTACCTCTATACCGAATGATCACAGTGGGTATGATTGATGGTGTTTCGTATATACGACTTAATTTTCTTGTACAACCACTGTTTTGTTTGTTTTACACGAAACACTTCACCCTCTCTAATTTATTTCTTTTCATTTCAAAAAAAAAAAAAACTACTCACTTTGTTTTTGAGGCAAACTTCAAAACACCCTTTCTCCTTTTAGACACATTAATATAGTATTTTCTATTAAGAATGCAGTAAAAATTTTTTTTTGCAACTTGTCCACTTTCACTTCTTTTTTTCTCACTTGTTTTTCTGGTTTATTATTTAAAAAAAACTTTATAATAATATTTTCTTTCTAGTTTCTTTACTGAAACTTGCAAAATCGGGACTGTGTAGTAGCTATGTAGCCGCTATATATATTAAAAAAAGTAGTAGGCGTATCGCTATTTTATGTTTAACGTAGGGTATCCATATGGAGCGAATATAGTTTAAGTGTAGCCTATGTAATGCAAAAATGTAGTTTAAATGTAGCTTATGTAATGCAAAAATGTAGTTTAGTTAATGTAATAATATTGCAAAAATGTAGTTTAAGTGTAGCTTATGTAATGCAAAAATGTAGTTTAGTTAATGTAATAATATTGCAAAAATATAGTTTATTTAATGCAAAAATATTGTTTAGTTAATGTAATAATATTGCAAAAATGTAGTTTATTTAATGCAAAAATATTGTTTATTTAAAGTAATATTACAGTTTACTCAAAGTTATAATACAGTTTCATTGTATTAATTATCTAAATCTATATTAAATCTATATTAAATCTATATTAAATCTATATTAAATATATTTTGTATCGATATTAATCTATGCTTCTAAAGTTTTGAATTCCTTTTTTCGAAACTATACTTGGATTTTGGTTTCCAAGCTGGAGCCAAAAAAAAAAGGAAAAAAATTAAAAAAAAACTTAAGTTTTGAATTCCTTTATTCGAAACTTACCTATCTCACGCGAGCGTCTAACTAAGAGTCGATTTCACCAAGACCCGTGTCTAAGCCGCCTAAAAAAAGGAAAAAAAAAGAAATTAGCAACCGTTTTAAAAGACAAAATAAAGATGGAATAAAACAAAAAAACAATACTCCCACCGAAGTCCCGTGTCCAAAGAATTAAAAACCGTCTAAAAAGAAAAAAAAATCAGTTAGAAAATGTTCGTCAAAATAAAAATCAAGAAAAAAATGACAAACTTACTGAAATGAGAGACCATATGAACCGTCTAAAAGAAGAAAAAATCAAAGAAACATTAGTAAATGTTTCTCAAAGAATAGTTCAAAAAATAAACCTCTACCCCTCCGAATTATCACGCGTATGTTCCTTGTAGGCTGGTGTGAGATTGTAAGACTGAAAAAATAAAATAATTAATATAAAGTTACGAAATTAAAATAATAAATTTCTCATTCTTACAAAAATCAAACTACAATTGCCCAATTTATCACCATCACGTGGTTCAGTTGGCATAAATCTGGTATGATGCCTCTTTTGCAATATAATACTATATATTAAGGGATTAGTAAATTTAGAAATTGTAAAATAATAATGGTAACAACATGACATTAAAAAACTTACAATGTTAGTGTAGGTCCCGAATTTCTGTACACACTAGCAAAGACTTCTTTAAGTGCTTTTACTTCATAAGTTTTTACATGTTGAAATTGAGTTTCACCAACTCCATCACGATAAAACAAAAATTTTCTCGGTAAAACTTGATTTCTTTGATAAAAAACACAAAGTAAATCGATTACTACTCCTTTGAGATCTTCAATAATTTAATTTCGAGGATCCTTATTAACACTAAATCTTCCAGCGTATCTAGTAGCTTTTTGAATTCAATGAGGCACATACAGCTACAATACTTGGCCTATTATCACCTCTTCCGGAATGGAAAACATTAGCGCCGAGTATCATTGTCAGTTCTGAAGATACAAAATCAATTTGATCGTTGGTTAATATTACATTTTGTCCACCTAATTTTGCGTTCACTTTCAAAAAGATGTTTGAACAAATTTGATCGATTCCATTTTTTCTCACTAATCGTTTGAGTAAAATACATTGAGTTGGAACACCCAATTGCGTGTCCCAATCCTTTTAATTTCTCCATATATTGGACTCATTGATCCCAAAATACATATAATGATATGTGGAGGATAATTTTTGTTAAACAAAGATTTGTGACAAGCAATATTCAACGCTGTAGTAATTTCACTTTGAGGATATGACGTAAGGATCATTCGGGATGTCTAAAGACTCTGTCTTCTAAAAAAAGAAAAAATAAAAACATTAGTATATGTTAAAGAAATATATAGAAACATAAACATTGTCGATTTTCTCACCAAAATCCCACGCGTTTGAAGGGTGAAACGAAGACAAAACCTAAAAAAGAAAGTTTAATAGTTTAGTACCAAAAACGACAAAAAAACCTATAAACAATAAAAAAACCCACCTTAATTTCCACAAAAGAGACATTGAAACATAAAAAGGAAATACCGAACCCTAAAAAAGAAAGATAACACTGAAGGGGTCACCGAAACCTAAAAAGAAGCCAAATCTACAAAAAAAAGAAAATCAAAAGTTAATGACGAATACGAAGAAATAAAAAATGAAAAAAATGGACGCTCACATCCATTTTCAAATAGGAATGGCAAAATCTAAAAGAGAAAAATGAACCGTTAAATAGAGTTCGTTAAAATAGAGTAATTTATAAAAAAAAATACCCACCAGAATCCCAATGTTAGAAACTGTTCGTTGGCAGTGCGGAGCTGATATGGAAGGTGCGGAATTTCAAGACGATATACAGAAACTGAAAGAATTTGGAGAAAGTAAAGGTAAAGATGATAGCACTGGCTACGGCGCCACCAGCTAATCAACTGGTAAACTTTTCTACACCGTAAACACCTTCTGATTGAGGTTAGCAAATATAGCGGCCAAGAAAAACAAAAACTGAATAACACCAGTTACTGAAGACGAGGTAGTGGATATGAGAGTGGGAGAGGACACAGACTCGGACTCAGATTTGGAAGGTGATAAGGCAGAAGCCTCGACCAAAACATCTCTAAAACAAGATAACATTGCGCAAAAATAAAGTACGTTACTGTACGTACGATACCAAGCGCATCTGAAGGTTTAAAAAAGATGAAAGAGAAATTAACCGAATTGGAGGAGATTTTTTCAACAACCTCCAACGATATGGAATGGGAAGTTATCAAAAAGAACAGGTATCAGAACTTGGACGAGATGTTTTGGCTTCTTTTTTTTTACATTAACTTACTTTGTGATGGGAGAGTTCGGATGTGATTGTTCTTTTTTATATATGTTCGTGCAATTGCATGGGTACATATTACATTAGTGTTGACCCCTTTGTACTATTTAGATAGAATAATGCTTTGCTGTAGAGTTGCGTAACCTTTCTAATATCTACTCATACAAAGAATAATAAAAAATGCAGTGCAATTGTTAAAAAAAAAAATTCTGTTTGTTAGAACAAAAATAATTAAAGAAAAAATTGAATACTTACCAAATTCATGTTTAAGGAGACTAGGGATGGCAACGGTCACGGTCATTAACCGGTTATGACCGGTCATGACCGTGACCGATATCGGTCGGTCAAAGACCTCTGACCGACCGTTTAACCGATCCTGAAAATGTTTGCGAAACATAATTTAATAAAAAATGTTTCGCAAACGTTTTTTTAATTATTTTAATAGAAAATGTTGCGAAAACGTTTTTTATTAAGTATTTCAAACGTTTTTTTATTAAATTACGTTTCGCAAACGTTTTCAGGATCGGTTAAACGGTCGGTTAACCGGTCGGTCAGACCGGTCGGTCAAACGGTCAGTCGGTCGGTCAAAGGTTCTTGACCGGTTATGACCGACCGATGACCGACCATGACCGACCATTGCCATCCCTAAAGG